GTACACGATCTATCCTTACGGAATCCTGCCTGTTGGTCACGAAGTTGGGCGTCTGGAATGTTGTCCGGTTCTGCTTCTTTGCCACTCTTGATTTGTCTGATGGCCATGCTGATTTCTTCAATTGTTGGTGGGTCAACATTGATTGGGAGGTCCGCGGGTGCTGCTTCGATGTTGGGTGGGTTCAGTGGAGCTGGTCGATTCAAGAGTTGTTTGAAGTGTTCTACCCACCTGTTTTGTTGCTCTTCAATGTTGGTGATTACTTCGCCTTCTTTGCTTTTCACTGGTCGTTCTGGTTTGCGGCGATTTCCAGAGAGTTTCTTTGTCGTGTCATACAATTGTCTCATGTTTCCTTCTCTTGCAGCCTTTTCCGCCGTCGTTGCTAAATCTTCCACATATTTACGTTTGTCGGTTCTGATGCTCCTCTTCACTTGCTTGTTTACTTCTGTGTATTCAGCTTGTGCCTTGGCTTTTTCTGCTCTTGTTCGACTGGTATTGATTGCTGCCTTCTTGTTCCTCCTTTCTTGAATCTTATCCAGTGTATCAACAGTGACCCATTCCTTGTGATGGTGCTTCTTGTGACCCAGGACCTCATGACATGTTGAAATGATTGCCTCTTTGATCCCCTTCCAGTTGTTCTCCACAGTAGTTCCTTCTCCATTGAGTAGATCATGAAAGGCCTGGAACTTGTTGCTGAGGACTATCTTGAATTTGTTGAGTTTGTTAGTATCCTGAAGAAAGGCCGTATTGAACTTTTGTGATATTGTCCGCTCCGTTATCCAGTGCTTCTTGAGTTTCAATTTCATCTTGGCGACCAGCAAGTGATGATCTGATGCTATATTAGCTCCTCTCTTGGTTCTCACGTCCTCTATAGTCCTCCTGAATGTTTTGTTGATACAAATATGGTCGATTTGGTTTTGCGTGGTGTGATCCGGTGAAGTCCATGTGGATTTGTGTATGCGTTTATGTAGGAATATGGTGCCGCCTATGACCAGTTTATTGAAGGCACATAGGTTTGCAAATCACTCACCATTTTGGTTCCTTTCTCCCAATCCTTGTCGTCCCATGATGTCTTCATATCTATTGTTGTCCGTTCCGACCTTGGCATTGAAATCTCGCATGAGAATTGTCAGGTCCTTTGTTGGGCACTTCTCGACGATTGACTGCAGCCTATTGTAGAATTGATCTTTAGCGTCTTCATTATAGTCGTTGGTAGGCGCATAGCATTGGATGATGTTCATTGAAATGCCCTCTTTCTTTGATGATCCTTGGTCCATGAGATTCCCATCCTATAAGCGCATTTTGTGCTTGTTTGGACAGCATCAATGCAACTCCTTGTGTATGTGGTGCATTTTCTTCTTCATGGCCGGAGTATAACAGGAGCTCTCCTGTAGTTAGTCGTTGTCCAACATGTGTCCAATGTGTTTCACTGATCCCACGTACCTGTAGGTTGTATCTTCTTATTTCTGCAGCAATTTGGAAGGCTCTCCCGGTGTCCCACATTGTACGAACATTCCATGTACCTAAATAAATGGTCGCTCTGGTTGTCAGAAGGGGCATCGGCCTCGTAACTTCCGAAGGAATCCGGGTTTCATCATGAGGCGTCATAATTCTTCTAAATGAAGACCTTCTGACTCTCAGGGCAGAGTTTAAAAGGTTTGAATAATTTTTCTGGTTAGCGTTTTTTTAGCGAGTTAGATTTCTACGGGATGGGGACGCTAACCCCATGCCCAACCCTCCTCCTTTATCCGGGCTTGGGACCGGCAGTAGCCCCCGGAGGGACTCCAGGCGGAGTTTAATTCAGAGGTGGTAATATATAAAAGAAAGATTGCAATAAGGATATAGTACAGGAAGAAAGAATTAGTTCGTAGAAAGAAAGATATGAAGCGATTATAATCTCTTAGTTTAAGGGAACACGGAGAGTGCATACACCGACGCCATTGTGATCGATTCTGAGCCATGTCACCAAGAGTCTCCAACCATCGGTTACGATAGTCACGCGGACCCCAAACAAGTAGTCTGCATCCACCAACATGGCTCACACCAAAAGTTAGTGACTTCAAGCACTGATGCCACGTTTTGGTTTGGCTGCCTCTAACTTTCTTCAAACCATCTCAAACACCGGTTAGCATTGCACTTCGTGGTAATCGGTGTTCAAGCATACGTAACACGTGGCCCAACCATCTCAGTCGATGAAAATTCACAACCTCATCAACTGATTTACCATCATTCCCTAATACCCTGCGTCTAACCTCACTATTACTTACCCCGTGATCCCAGCAGACGCCAGCAATATTTCTAAGGCATCTGTGGTCAAATACTAGTAGCTTACGGGTGTCTTCTACTCTTAAGGGCCATGTTTCGCTGCCGTAAATTAAAACAGAACGAACTGCCGCGCAGTATACTCGTCCTTTTATTGATAGACGGATATCTCGCCTTCGCCAAAAGTGACGTAAGTTGGCAAAAGCCAAACGAGCTTTTCGAATCCGTGCTGAGATTTCGTCAGACACCAACCCATTAGGGCTGATCAGACTTCCAAGATAAGTGAAGTTGTCAACGCGTTCAACTACTTCACTCCCTATCCTTAGTTCAGGTGTTGACACAGACCAGTCCTGAAGCAACAACTTGCATTTAGAGGGAGAGAAGCTCATCCCAAACATTCTGGCATTGTTGCTTAGTGCTACCAGAAGACTCTGCATTTTGTCAGCGTCTTCACCAAACAGGACTATGTCATCTGCGTATTCTAAGTCGATAAGTGGACCTCCTGGAAGGAGATCAATACCCGAGAATTCAGTCGACGAGAGTGTTATTTCCATCAATAGGTCTATGATGAAGTTAAACAAAAATGGAGAAAGTGGACAGCCTTGACGGACACCACTTGAGGTTGCAAAAGCAGATGACAGTTCGCCATAAGCTCTGACTCGACTAGTAGTGTTCGAGTAAAGAGCCTTCACAAGGCTTATGTACTTCTGAGGTACGCCTTTCAATGATAGACACTGCCACAGAATCTCGCGGTCTACGGAGTCAAATGCTGCTTTTAGGTCAAGAAAGACCACCATTCTCGGATGCCGATAAGTATGCCTATGTTCTAGAACCTGACGAATGGTGAATATGTGGTCGATGCAGCCACGACCAGGTCTGAAGCCAGCTTGGTTCTCTCGTGTTTGCAGTTCACGAGTCTTAGTTAGGCGTCTGATAATTATCGAGGCTAGTATTTTAGATACTATATTTGTTAAACTAATCCCTTTGTGGTTGTCACAGGATGATTTTGATCCTTTCTTATATATTGGGACGATAAGTGATTGCGACCAGTCAGATGGGATAACGTCTGACTCCCAGATCTTAGCTAAAATATTAGTCGACCTAATCGCTAAAATTGGACCACCATCCTTAAAAACCTCTGAAGTCAATCCATCTGGACCAACTGCCCTTCCTCGTTTCAGATTAGCTATAGCCTTTTGAACTTCAGCTAGAGTTGGGGGATCTACTTCAATGTTCCATTCACACTGTCTGGGAATGGAGGGTATTTGTAGAGTAGCTGAAGGCCATTTGGACTGTTCTCTGAAATGTTCCGCCCATCGTTCTAAACGTCTGGACTGGGAGCAGATGAGGGTGTCCTCTTTTTCCGAAATAGTTTGACCTACACTTGACTTATTAATTCCAGTTTCTTTTATTAGTCTTTAGAGCTGTCTTGTGTTCCCTATAGCCGCCACCTTTTCCATCTCTTTTGCTTTCGTTGCCCACCACTCCTCACGGTTGTTCCTTAGACTTTTGCTTAACCTAGATCTGATTTGTTGTCGCTCTTCATCGTGTTCAGAACCTGATGGGATGAGTTCGCGAGAATCCATCAGTGCAATAGACCTTGAAGAAATCCGTTGGTTCTTTGTAACCCTGTGGCGGGGGTGTTGTTTACGAAATTGAGAGGACGCAAAGCGAATGTCCGGCGCTTTAACCGGATTCCAAATCAATGGTGCACATGGGCTCCAGTATCCTGCGGGAACAAATGGCGTATGAACCAATCGTCGGTCACCGGCTTCCATGGGGCTGCATCTCCTTACGATGCTCCACTGCCTTGTGGGTTAGACCTTTAGGTCGAGGGCTCGGGGTGTGGTCCCCCAAGATAACCACCTGCCTCGGTCTGGGCACCCGAGCAGTATCCCAGCCCTCACACAAATCGAATGATTTATGTGGTGCATATCTATTTGGTGCCTCCTTGTACCAATGTTTATGTTTAAATAAATAAATAACCCTGTGGCTTAAATCACTGATAGATGTCACTGCTGTTTGTATAGCTTTCCAAGCAACATCTGGGTCAGCCTCGTTTTCAGAACTACCTATGTGTGACAGTTGTTCCTGGAACCTACTTTTGGTTTTCTCGTTACTCAATTCAGTCCTAATGGATCCTTTTTGTGTGGCTTTTTTGCGTCCACTGAGACGCGAGCAGATGCGTGCCCGTAATAGGGCATGGTCGGAGTTCAAGCAGGTACTCCAGAATGAGCGACAATCTTCTACCGACCCTCCCCAACGATGACTGATGGAAATATGGTCTATTTGAGTCCATCATTGGTTTGGTGTAGGGGGTCGCCATGTTAGACGATGTCTATCCTTATGCCTTAAATTTGTGTTTGCTAAAAATAAACGATTGTCTGAGCACAGTTGCAGCAGACGATCGCCATTATCTGTTCGTTGTGTCGGAATACTAAAATACCCACCTAAATGCCTTTCTGTTTGGTTTAAACTACCTATCTGGGCATTAAAGTCACCTGCTACGAGTACTATGTCTGAACGTTTAGCTTTCTGTAAAATTCATCTTTCACTTCATCTGAGCTTCAGTCGGTTGGAGCGTAGACAGAAACGACAAAAAGGCAACGACGTGTGTCGGGAGTGTATTGTACGGCCCTCTGGCTAGTTTTCGAATTACACCGTTTTGTAAAAGTTATTTTCTTTAGTTTTATAATTAACTGATGGAAATGTTCCCATTTTATTCATTCTTCGATCATTAGTTTAGAGATGGTGTCTTACTTATCCTATTAATGGGTCTTATTGATGGCTATTTTGTACCATTTCATGCATATCATCCAACACCAACAACAGAAGAATTGTGTACATCAAATGTTAAACTAGCCTTTGAACTTATTCAAGCAGCTGGTATGGTTGAACCTCCAGCAAAACCTGAAGAAATTGTTGCAGGCGATAGCAGTGCTGTATTACGCGTGTTGTATGGCATCTACTCATATTGTGCACATATGGAGGATGAACAACGTCGGTATGAAATAAATAATATTCGAGAACAAGGTGAGATGGATGGATATTACGGTAATAACCAGGAACCTTCTGTACAACATGGTGTAATTAATTTATCGTAAAGTATACGTAACTGTGATAATATGTCTCTGATGTTTTCTGTGATGTTAACATTTTAAAAATTACCGTTGAATAATATGCGTTACCACTGGAGTGACTTACTTTTAATAAATAACAGGTTATCGTTTGATATTCTTTAGTTACTTTCTTTTTAGAAATGATAAACAATGAAATGAATTTGTATGTAAGTACTCCATTATATTATTTCTCTCTCTCCTCTGCGAATATACGCTCTTCAGCCTGACATTTTTTACACCATTAAACGTTGTGATATCAGTTTTGTAGTTTTCTATATTATTTTTTTGAGGTTAATTGTTTTACTTTCCTAAATATCGATGTTAGTGTGAATTTCTAGGTACGATAATAAAAGCAATAACTTTGAAAAGATTCGTTTATGATTATGTTCCTTTTAGTTAACTGGTAGTGTAGTTTATCACTTTTCTCCGCGCTATGTAGTTTCGTCGTATATTGTATAATTTTTCTGCGCCAGTGGGTTTTATCTCACTGAATGTGTTCATTACTACTAAATAGAATGGGTTTTTGTCTTTTTAGACGTTTATTTCTTGCTCTTATTACAACGTTTATGTTATATACCATTTCATTGGACAAATATATAAAATAATCATGCCTACATGTATACAAACTGAACATCTTAAAGAGATCAACTTTAGACAACAGTCATCTGTTGACATCGAAAAAGATTTGTCTTATAAAGAATAAATTGAAAGTCCAACATCAGAGAGTGATTTGGATTTCACAATAAGTACTTCAACAACATTCTGTTCTTCAGCAGAAGTTTGGAAGCTTAGAAGATACTTTGATAGATGTTTTGTACAAGGCTTTAATCCAGCATCCGTAAAAATAGTTTGTTCACATACAAGTTCTATTCATAATCCAATTTATGATTCAAGTTACACTTAATATCTTTTTCGCACAACATATTTTCACATGGGCTTCTGATTATTAATGCGACAGATGCCTATTTCATCCTAGCTTGAAGCCCCGTAAGATTGTGCACTACATTCGCTTTTCGTGAAAACAATTAGGCAGCCATGTAAGTGATGCTCACCCCGAGGCAGCATGGAGTGATATTAGAAAAGCTGTGGAAACAGCAGTGGCATCTGCTTAGCTTAGGAACTACTTCAGTGTTTCCAACATGCGCGGGTAGTGTTTTCACGATAATTTTGACCAGATTCTTGTAATGCAAACATAGTTTACCTTCCAAGAAAACACCCTACACTAGTAATGCAGTACAGATCGGAACACTGAACAGAACACTTGTTTTTTCTACAATCACTTGTGAATTATCAAATAACATGATACAAAGAAATAATAACAACAGCAATAACAATAAGCTCAGCATTGAAATATACAATATGAGGAATTAACAAATAACAACAAAAAATACGTATATGAGACTCACCGAATAACAAAACTGTCATTTTGGCTTTAAATATGCAGACTTTGTAGACAAATATGATGCATGTTCCAAATGTGGCTGCTGCTCATCAACCAACTTTGTTCAAGCTAATTTCCTTTAAATCTGATCCCAATAAATAATAATATCATCCCGTTAATTTAATCCAGGCTAAATCTTATAGTAGAATTATCAATTCACTCAAGATGATTATTTAAAAGCCTGAACAACATCAGTTAGTTATAGATATAGTTTATTATTAAACATCAGCAAAATACAATCCACACGGAGAAACCAAATGAGTAGGACTGTTAAAAATCCATATATATTAATGAGTGTTAATCCAATATGGGTAAATTATTGATTAACTGTGTCTTACAACCAATGGGAGAATAGATTGAAGGTTGATGTGCAGACACGCGCACAATCAGACTCACACAGAAGTTTACCTAGCGGATTAAGTGTCTAAATAACAATGGGTAGACAAATAATACCATAGTTGAATGGGCTTACTGAAACTATACGCAATCTACAAAGACACACTCGCATATGCGTACACACTATCAACATGGAATCAGATCACATACTAACAACACCTGATCCAAAACATCTCCCTCTCAATCACTCACTAACTCACTCATCCATTCACTGTCTCACTTAATCACTCATCACCATGCATCACAGTAGTTCCATACTGTGAGACCATGTTGTCTGTGAATGGGACTAGGTAAGCCACTGTCACTGGTCGGTGTTGTGCATTGCACTAAGTGTTCAAGTGACACGGAACGCTGTGAGAATATGCACAGAGTCACCTAGTGGTTATGGTGTGACTCGAGTGACTGTCAACAGCTATGATGTGAGTGGGACTCAATCCGACGCCCATTAACACTGCAGCACAGATCCAATGCCTTACACCACTCAACCACTACAAAAGTGATAGTAAACGCACAAAACTAATTCATCAGTCTCAACATTTTTTTCACTTTAAACTAAATTTGTCCCACTCATGCATCTTCGTCCTACATCTATTTACACTTGTTTTTTCTGCTGACCCTGCTCACGCTGATTTATCACCCGTCGTCTCTTGTTAAAGGATTCGAGGTCGCGGAATGTTATCCACGTTTAATTGATGCTACCCTCGAAACTGCATGATGTAACTTTTAAGGGTTGAGTACTGAACCAATTTCGACAACAGATTTCCTTAGCTAGTACCTTAGAATAATTCCGCCTGTAGCTCTTCTAAAGTTACTGCCGGTGCCAAGCCCGGGAAAAGGAGCAGGGTTGGGCATGGAGTTAGCGACCCCATCCCGTAGAAAACGAACTCACTAAAAAACGCTAACCGGAAAAATAATTCAAACCGTTTATCCTCTGCCCTGGGAGTTAGAAGGTTTTCATTTAGAAGAGTTATGACGCTTCATAGTGAAAGCCGAGCTCCTTCGGAAGCCACGAGGCCGATGCCCCTTCTAACAACCAGAGCAACAATTTTTATAGATACATGGAACGTCCGAACAATGTGGGAGACCAGGAAGACTAGTCAAATTCCAACGGAAATGAGGAGATACAATTTGGCAGTACTGGGAACCAGCGAAACGTACTGGACCCAAGCTGGACAACAAAGGCTAAATACGGAAGAGATGCTGCTATACTCCGGCCACGAAGAAGAAAATGCTCCACACACTCAGGGAGTCGCTCTAATGCGGTCCAAAGTAGCACGAAATGCACTTGTAGAATGGGAATCTCACGGATCCGGAATCATCAAAGCATCATTCAAAACAAAAAAGGAGGGGATCTTAATGAATGTTATCCAATGTTATGCACCCACCAATTATTGCAATGACGACAATAAAGATCAGTTCCATGAGAATCAGCAATCAATCATAGCGAAGAGCCCAAGAGAGGACCTCACCATTCTGATGGGAGATCTAAACGCCAAAGTCGGAATAGACATTACCGGATATGAAGGTATCATGGGACGACATAGACTGGGAGAGAGAAACGAAAATGAGGAAATGTTTAAAACTCTATGTGCATTCAAAAATTGGTTATAGGAGACACAGTATTTCCACACGAGGGTATACACAAAGCTACATGGATCTCACCGGACCACACTACAGAGAACCAAATAGATCATATTTGCATCAACAAAAAATTCCGAAGGACAATGGAAGATGTGAGAACCAGGAGAGGTGCTGACGTAGCTTCAGATCACCACCTAGTTGTAGACATTTAAAACTAAAGCTAAAAAAGAACTGGACAAACAGCAATACAAAGGTTCAATACAGCCTTCCTTCGAGATACTGACAAACTCAATGAATTCAAGATAGCTCTCAACAACAGGTCCCAAGCCCTACAAGATCTACTGAAGGAAGAAGAAACTACTATGGAGGACAACTGGAAAGGCATCAAAGAAGCATTGACTTCAATATGTCAAGAAGTTCTGGGCCTAAAGAAACACCATCATAAGGAATGGATCTCTATAGAAACATTGGACAAGATCAAAGAAAGGAAGAACAAGAAGTCAGCAATAAACAACAGCCGAACACGAGCAGAGAAAGTCCAAGCACAAGCTGAATACATGGAAGCAAACAAGCAAGTGAAGAAAAGCATTAGAGCCGACAAGAAGCTATACGTGGAAGAACTAGCAACGACGGCGAAAAACGCTGGCAGGGAAGGAAATATGAAACCATTTTACGATACAACGAAGAAACTAGCGGGGAAATACAGTAGACCAGAAAGATCGGTCAAGGACAAAGAAGGCAAGCCAATCACTGAAATTCAGCAACAGCGGAACAGATGGGTAGAATACTTCGAGGAACTCCTGAATAGGCCGGCTCCAATGAATCCACCGGACATCGAAGCAGCACACACAGATCTTCCCATAGATGTCAATCCACCAACGACGGAAGAATCAGAATGGCCACCAGAAAAATCAAGAGCTGGAAAGCAGCAGGACCCGACAATATACCAGCTGAAGCACTGAAGTCAGACATAGAATTAACTACAAACATGCTTCACCTTTTATTCAAAATGATTTGGGAGGAGGAACAAGTGCCGATGGACTGGAAAGAAGGGCACCTCGTCAAGATTCCAAAGAAAGGAGATCTGAGCAAATGTGAAAACTACAGAGGCATTACACTACTGTCAATACCAGGGAAAGTCTTCAACAGGGTGTTGTTGAACCGGATGAAGGATGCAGTAGACGCCCAACTTCGAGATCAACAAGCTGGATTCCGTAAGGATCGGTCGCGCACAGACCTAATTGCAACACTACTCATCATCGTCGAACATTCAGTTGAGTGGAACTCGTCACTATACATCAACTTCATTGATTATGAAAAGGCGTTTGATAGTGTAGACAGGAGGACATTATGGGAACTTCTTCCACACTACGGAGTTCCTGAGAAGATTGTCAACATTATCCGGAACTCATACGACGGACTGCAGTGCCAAGTCGTGCATGATGGACAGATGACATGCATTCCAAATAAGGACCGGAGTCAGATAAGGCTGTCAACTGTCTCCGTTCCTCTTTCTTCTGGTAGTCGACTGGATTATGAAGACCTCTATATCTGAGGGTAAACACGGCATACAATGCACAACTCATGATTAATTAGGTGATTTGGAATTCGCAGATGACACAGCCATCCTATCAAATACACACGAACAAATGCAGATAAAGACAGCCAGTGTAGCAGCAGTCTCTGCATCAGTAGACCTCAACAAACACAAGGAGAAAACCAACGTCCTCAAATTCAAAGCGGAGAACAGCAATCCAATCAATCTTGATGGCGAAACTCTGGAAGATTAAGAATCACTCACATACCTAGGAAGCATCATCGATGAACAAGGAGGATCAGATGCAGACGTAAAGACGAGGATTTGCAAAGCAA